CCTTTGAGCCTCCTGATATTCCATCTAGTCCACCATACAAACCCAAATTTCCCCCTGTCGACGAGCCACTTGACATTACATAGGTCGATGAATGTTGAGCTGCTGTGTTTCTTCCTCTCGCACCGCCTCCACTATAACCGAGTGAAAATGTACCAATCCCACTGGTATTTATAGATTGTTCAGCTTGCATTCGTCTAGCTTCTTCCATAACATGATCAACAATTGGTTTGAGGCCATTGTTGCCTTCTAGTAACTGTCGATAAGTATTAATTTCCTTTTCTAACGATGTTTTCATTGATGTTACTTCATCGTATTCTCTCGTTAATTGTTCCAGACGACGCTTCATTTCCTCAATATCAACCGCACGTTTTTGCAATAATCGTCCACCTAAAACACGACCAGCCCACAGTCAATTTGAGCATGTAAGAGCGAAAAAGAAGTATATAATTACCTTCATTACGTTCCTGATTAATGACAAGTTGCATTTCTTTAACTCGATTTTTTAAATCTTCATTTTTTGCTCTCATATAGGCCATTTCATTTTTTGTTTGCAACAACGATGATCGTAGTTTTTCTTCTTGTACTCGTGTTTGTTCTTGTTGGTCGAATTGTTGACGTGGCGTATAACGTGAAACAATTTCATTATACGATACCATAAAACGATTATGTATATCAGAACGTTGTTGATCATTTGCCTGTTCATATTCAGTTCGTATGTCACGAATAGCTTGTGATAATTCATTACGAAAAAAATGAGATGGATCAAGGCTAACATCGACGATAGTTCGAGATCGTAATTCATTTAAATCGGCTTCATCTAAAACAACAGAAAGAAACTGAAACTTGTCTATACACATTTCAAATATGAGTGATACAATTTAACGTCGCAAGAGTGTAAAAAAGTTACAGATAAATGTAACTAAAGAGAAATGATTTGGTTTTCTTCCATCCTCTTATTCGCCCTTTGTGTATATGTGTGCATTATTACTACTTACGCATTTGTTTCAACATGACCAATTCGTCGTCCAATACCATCTTTTCTGTATCCAAAGTAGACTTAACAAACGTTTCATTCTGAATTTGATTTTGTAAATTAGCGATTTCCGTTGCTAAACGTTGTGTTTGGGCTTTATAACGTTTTGCTTCATCCTCCAAATCACCTAAACGTCGACGAAATAAATTAATTTGCTAAAATACAAATAAAAGTTTTCGTTATTAAGCTTAGACTCAATTAGAGGAGGATGTACGTACAGCTTCATTTTCGGCTATTTCTTGTTGAAGACGATCAGTATTTGACCGATCAGTTTGTCGTAATTTAAGTGTCTCATCATATCGTTTTTTATAACCGGCCGTTTCTTGTTCAGCTTTGCGCGCTTTGGCATCGGCAGCTGCAAGATCTTTACGTGTATCATCAATCAACGTTTTTGCTTCAACCATTTCAACTTCATACATTTCTTTGATTTTCGATGAACCGTGCCCAGACCGTTTCTGAATGGCGTCGATTTCTAATTGTAGTTTACGGTTTTGTGCTTCAAGAAAGCGCACTTTTTCCACATATTGTGCAAATTTATCATTCAATTGTACTAAGTCACGTTTCTCACGTTCACGCGTTTCATTGACACCTACTAATGCTGTTCCACCACGTCCAGATCGCAATGGAACACCAAGTTGAGATAATGCGCTTAACCCCGATCGAAATCCTCCTGTATTTCCAAAACTTCCGCTCGACGAATATGATTGAAGCATACGCGTCGTAACACCAGAACTCGGAGCCATATTTCTTGTTCGTTGAACATTTATTGTTCTCGGTGTTATATGTGATTTATATGAACTATGGGTGGACGATCCTCCGTAACTTTCGTCAGTGATTCTATCGTATTGATGCATCGTCTATGTTTTGTTCGTGAGATTGATTTGTTCTAAAATAAATTAAAACTCAATTGGTTCGGTAAGTAGGTGTATTACATATTGATTATATAGTCTGTCTGGAACAACGCAGCAAAAAAAACTTTTTTTCGAAATAAAAAAATGAAGACAAAGTTGATTGTTTTGTACTTGTGAGTAACACACACACATTTCTTCTTGTTTTTGTGACACCTTCCTCAGTTGCGGAAAAAAAAGAGGAAAAAGAAAAATATATAAAAGTTAAAGAAACCTCAAATACTTTTTTCTTGAATGTATGCTGTATATACCATGGAAATAAAAATATTCCATATTGTATGGCATTATACATTGTGCCGATAGAACCGAATAAAATAAATACGTCAAGATTGATTAATTTTATTCTGTTAACTATATAGCCGAGTGTTACAGTAAAACTACAAATAAAAATTTGTTTACTTTACATTGACACTTGATACAAACGTCTGTTGTCTAGGAAATAATAAA